AGACGATTTGTGTAGATGACATTACATTTCAACTATTCCATCTTTCTCATTATAGCGATATTTTGCTACAGTTCGCCTGAAACACTGATCGTTGCAACCGATATGCTAGGGGGTGTCGCAGTCAGATTACATGACGCGGACACCAAAATAACTGGCCAGAAAATTGGAATTCCCATCAATTCAGGTAACATATAACACAATTTCATTAAAAATTATTGACAAAAAAATTTCCAAGTGAAATTTTAACAGCTGTTCTAGAACGTGACATTTAACGTCTACCTTTGAATTCTTACGTTTTAGCTAGGAGAGGATGTTGTCGACTCGCAGGAGGGATTGGTTTCTGTCTTAGTGCTATCCGGAGATATATCTAGATCCAAGGTACAGGGAGCAGAGTTTAATTAAAGAGTAACATTATGGTTCACAAGCCTTTCGTTTGGTTTCGTGTTCTGTAGAGCTACTTTTGTGAGGTTTCAGAGAGGGAAGGTATGAGTTCTGCCGTGTTGGCAGTGTGTTTATCTATTTTAGTGACCTACAGTGTCTTGCCATTACGTTTAATGAGGTGAGTGTAAGCAACCTTTTCAATCACTGTCTTATTCGCTACGTCTTTTATTTGTTTGTAGCTCTCGTCCTGTAATAGGATACGTTGTGTATTGATGAATTTCTTTGCCTCTGTCTGAGTTTCAAACTGAAGGCCTATAGGGCAGCAGTGGTCGTGCTGACTCTTCTTCAGTCTGTGACACTTTGTTTGGGAGTTAGGCATTTCGCCACCTTAAATGAGATGCATTGAACCTTTTTCAACCCCTCATTATCTGGTATATTATAGACAATCACACTTAGTTTAGTATCAAGTCTTTTGATAACCTCTGCTGTGATGAGGTTTATCAAGGTGTCTACCTTAGTTACTGATTCTGTGTCAAGTTCACCAGGGTTTATGGTCCTAGTCAAAATGTTCAGAGGGGCAAGTTCACAGAGCTGTGATTTTATATCCCTAATCTGTGTTGATAGTTCAGATAAATTGGCCAAATTTTTTGAAAATCCTGCATTCACAACTTTACTACACCTTATATCCCGCATCTCGGTCTTCAGTTCTTCTACAGACAGCTTTAGTCGTTCTATTTCTGAAGTAAGTGTTGGAGCTGGACTTGCTATCTGAAGTTTTGTGACACGTATATAGGGTGAAGTGAAGAGATTTATGTCAGGACCAGGTGCTGAGTTTGTAGAGGAGATGCTACTACAGGTTGTCAGCATATTTTCGCTCTCAGTTTCAGCCACAGTAGATGGAAGTGACACAGCAGCTCGACGCTTGCGTTGTATGGGCAGGCTGTGCGCCTTACTTCCATACTTCGTGGGAGTTGTACTGCTCGTTTTTGCGAGCATATATGCACTATCAGTCATCAGGTTAACAGGTGACTGAGTTCGTGGCTTTTTTGTATGACTAACCATGACTAATTAGTGAAAGAGTGGCAAAGTTTAACTTTTGACACGAATAACAACTAATCAGCAAACGATGTTGAACGGACCAATCACATGAAAGAGGCGTTTATTATAAGTGGAAGCGTTTATTTAAAAAATGCATAAAAAAGGATAGAAGGTTACAGTGGGTATCTTTCCCGAACATGGGACAGGGACATCTCCCAATTCAGCATGGGACTGTCAATAGATAAGTCCCACCATATTCTATACATATATTTACCTAAGTGACTATGAATGACATCTTTTAGCGATCCATTTATAGCCCAGATCCTATTTTTCAATCGACCCCAAAATCCTTCAATGGAATTTGTATGAGTTCCTGTAACTGGATCAATGAAATCACTGGAGTGGTTCACTCTGCGATGAATGTATCTCAGGGGTGACAATGAATTATAGCCTTTCCACTCGTCGGTATGTACAACTGATCCCCGTTTGACAAACCGCGTTAAAATAGGTATCAGAGTAGTCGCCTACCTGTCTGCTATTCTTTTAACAAGTACTTTTCGGAGGGAAGTGTCGTATTAACCAATGACCCAAATGTTGTTCGCTCTCTGACGATAGCGGTTATATTTCTTCTTCGCCAACAAAGTCTCATCCACATGCACTTCTACGTTGTCCCCACCCAACAACGAACTTATCTTCTCCATTCCCCAAGATGCAATATCTCTACAATGCTGGTACCATTGAACTGTTGAGACGAGGCTTTTCTCCAGCTCGGCAGCTGCGGATCTCACTGGCTGTTTCAATACCCAGTAGTTGCAGATATACAAAATCTGGGTAAGGAATAGATGCGACCTAGCGAGAAAAGTTCCTACGAAATATTAAAATTAGCAGTTTATCCTCTCTAATACTAACTCGCTTCCAACATATTGCACAACGATGGACAAATTGATCAGTTGACCTGGTATAGCTTCTCAGAGTCATTACACCACCACACGAACAACTTCTCTCCTTTGGAAGCAAGCCTAAGTTCAGGCAATACTGAGAGACACTATCCTCCTCGAATTGCAAACGCAACCTTGTAAGGGCACGCACTAGAAATGAATGAAGCGCTATATAACATTGAACCACGTTCGTGAATCCCATTGGATAATTCGACATCTTTCGCTGATTGGTAGTTAGTGGTGCTTAAAGTTTAACTTGGCCGTCTTACCTTCTACATTAAAATTTAAGACAATCAGGTATCAACCAACCTTTACTTCTGCAATTTTTAAACTCCTGTATATTACCTATTGTACTCTATTGCTCTCCATTAATCTTTCCTGGGCTTCTCAAAAAAGATTATATCATATTAGGAAGGGTATTAAATGCTGTGAGTAGGGCTTGTGATTTGCCACTGCGTGAGTTCGCCAATACTATAGTCGAGAGATACATAAATTGCAGTACAAAATGGGCAAAGGCCAAACTGTCAGACCCTCTGCACCCCCTTTATTCACAACTATCCCCTTGTATCTCATCAGGTAGGACGAGAAGTCAATATAAAAATTTATGCTCTAACCACTAAGTACAAAAATTCTTTTTTCTTGTCGTTTTTGAGGAAATTGGATGCAGTGTTGTACTGAATGCTGAAAATTCTTTGCTGTATCATTAGTACTGTTTTTGGAATAAAGCAAAAATTATTATTATCTAAGGTGTAGTTGAGGGTTTGAATAATCCTATTATTTCGTACGTCTATATTTTGAGTATTTTGTGACTATTATAGTTTTTTTTCAAATAGCTTCAGGTTTTTGTGTACACTAACTTAAGTGAACGGAATATCTTATATTTACATACTTGTCAGTATTTGTTGTCCTTTTTGATTGCGTGCATAAACACACTTAGTTGCTAGGTCCACTACAGTATATATTTTGCTAGCATCATTGCGTAGGTATCTGGAATAATTTCTCGGTATTAGGTAGTCCGTTTCACTATTCGGATTGCAACTTACAGGGCATAAGTACCCTGTTTTTAGACTGTCTTGAGGGTAGTGCGTACTGTGTCTTTCATAGTCGCACATTTGTTGACGCATTTCTTGTGTATATGCAGGACCGTGAGCCAATCTATGCCCGTTATGCTGATGGAGCTTTACACAACTACTACGAGTGTTCGGAAGTAATTTTCCGTTCACATGGTACCGGGTGGTGTGCCTTCTAGCCGCCGATGTGTTCTTATTATCCATTTTGGATCCCGTTTTCAGGTTATATGTGCCAACATGCATATTACGATCTCGGCTGTTACGGCAATCGTGGGTCTCATTCTGCCGTTTAATCAGTGTGGCACCCCATGTGTCTGCTGACTCGTGGTTTTGTGTGGATAAAGCTATATTTGCTGTTAGCTCTCACCTCACGTAGTCAGTCGCCCTCACTTCGTTTATTACCCTTAGTTCGTAGAGCAGCACTATTACTCACTTGTTCCGTTTCCTTGATAGGACCTGTCGCAATGCGTTCATATTTCTTTTCTAGGCTTACTTGTTGAGCTTATCACAAGGGAGGTATATGGCCGCCTTGGGGACTTATTTCCGGTTTTCACAGTGAGACTATCTTTCTTAGCCCTAGGTGGAGTGTAACCTGTCGATATTTCCTAGGTGTCCCATGAACTTTGAGACTCATATCAGCGTTACTGCTCCTTTTGGGTTTAACTTCAATTTTACGGGTCGTTTGTTCACCTAGTACTATGCGAATGTCACTTTGTGTTCCAGTGTCCTTTGATACTTCGGTACTGACACAAGACATGTTTTGTGTTATGATAGTGTTTGTATCTAAGGTGTTCTTAATTTCTTGTCATTGGTTGGGGTTTTTGTCCAAGGATATTCTATTATTATTGAATTTTGTAGATGAGGCCAAAATATCCCCGGATTCTCAAAATTGTTCGGATATTATATAGCTGTCAAATCTGAGAAGTATGTGACATGTGCGGTTTGGTTCTTTTATTTAGCCGAATATACTGATAGGGTGTACTAAAGAGGTTTGCAACCCTTAACAAGGAGTGTTGAACAGACTTTATAGGCCCAATGTGTGGTATAATTTACACCATAGCGTTCTGTTTAGATGCTAGTCCTTTAGCGAATTCACTCGACAAAATATATCACTGATTTTGAATGAATACACCATTTGGCTATTAATCTAGAATAAGATTCGATGCCATACACAGCAAAGTTATGTGGGAGAATTTACTTCAAGCTTTATGTTTTCCGAAGTGTTTGTAATCCATCCAACACAGACTTGGGATTTTATGTTGATGCGAAGGCAATATTTCTATATCTCTTAATGTCCTCCATCGAGTGACTAGCTAACAAACTGCTCCCACAAACTGAAGCCAAAGAAGACAGTAACCATTTAGATTCACCATAAACCAAATTTATATAATTAGATTATTCTTATCCATGAGTGTTCCTACATAGACAGTAATAAATATATGCTATATTATTAAGTTATATAATGTCTATATCGCTGAAATGTAAAAGAGCTTTCTAGTTTGTTTGCACTAAATACCGCACAGATCACTGTGGATTACATTATGTGCCTTGTAATACTTGGCAGCTTACTGGTGCATAATATTCCGGTATTTTCTCAAGCTTATGTCATGCTCCGGTTATAATAACAATTTATTTTTCGTATAGACGGGTATTTTTACATCAAATGCATGCAATTTTTACAGGCACGATCAGCTATGTGATAAATTACAATCGTGAACTATCATAAATTAGCACAGTTTTATGCATTTATTTATTCATAAATATATGTTTTCCATAACCAAAAATACCTCCTTCATGTGATTGATACGTCCAAGGTCATTCGCTGATTGCTATTTAGATGGTGCCTAAGGGTTAACTTTGCCTCATCTCACCTCGTTTCGCACTGCCGCTGTTCGCCTGGCGTGCACACCCTATGAGTATTAGATCACAACTGCATTGATGCATGAAATATTCTTATATGAAAAGTCACATTAAGGAGATCATTATGTGGAGACGAATCAATCGGCTATACGAAACCCGAATATCTCCATCATGTCAATTAGTATCGTCTAAGCATGAAATTTAGTCAGTCATATGATCCAATAATTTTTCCTCAGTCAGCGATAATTCGGGTGGCATTCAGCATTTTCGGGGGAAAATATTAATCAAGAGAAAACTCCTGATGCACTTGCAGATGAACACCCAACATATTCCACAGAGCACACAGAATACTTCTTCGGAAGTGTCAGCGGTGTCTAGGTGCAAAAAACAAACAATCTCAATTGCGCAATTCCCCTTAAAATGTTGACATCGAATTGTGACATAGTAAACACATGTTTTGTTAATGACCATTTCCCGACGAAATGAAGCGGGAAATAGATATGAAGTCCGAATACTTCCCAAACGTGTCAGAGTACGTATAAGAAATTGCAGCGACTCTCTTCAATGTTCACAAGGCTAATGGTACACGATGATGTGATCAAACGCCAGGAAGACGGAATCGAACCACTCCGACGCTAATTGGCTACAGGTTTGAAGCCTGCACTCGGGACCACCGAGGGTCATCCTGGCAATCGCGTGGTCACCTACATTCATTTATAACACATTTGCCCTTATGTATAATCAGTACTTTCATTTGTACATCTTGACAAAATAACATCTGACTCAAACATCAGGACACTATAGTCAACAAAACTGCACACCCGAACTAACCACCACAAACACACTTGAGTCAGTGTCACAAAACTTCGCTTTGTTCAATGATCAGTGGACTGTTGAATATCTGGGAGAGCCGTAATCCTGTGAAGTCGGTTAGCAGTTGTATTCACTTATGTCAGCATCTGGACGACTAGATTCATTGCATACCAGCAGTGGTAGTTAGTAAGTACGGATTGTTGTAGGGAAACTTAATTTCGGATATTTGATATTGTCGGATGAAGGGTTGTTTATTTCGGGATTAGTATGTATAAATACGTTTTGGAAAGTGTTATTTCCCGATGTGTATGTTGGAAAAATTTGCTTCATGTTGAGTGAATTAGAAGTCCAAGGTTTTGTGGCCTTTGGAATATATATATATATATATATATATATGCATGGAGGACAAGGGGACGATAGCCGATATTGAGGATAACTGATGCGTATTTGAATATTGGGGCAGAGATATGATAGGTCTTAAACACAACAAAATCCGGAAAATATCGAAATTGAAGTGGTTTTACTGAAGGAAAGGTGCAAAGCAAGCGTATATCACATAATTATCATAGGGAAAATATGAGCATTTTTCCATTTTTAATTTTTTCTGGAGTCTTCTCATGCACGATTATTTCTCTAGGATTTTTAAACATTGGCTGATAGGCTTTTAGGTGCTGCAGCATTATATAAAGCTGATATTTCTTTTATGTCGGGTGCCTGTCCCAAAGTATATAACAAATGATAAAGTACACTTTGAATCCACAAGCAGAAAGCTTCAAACCTGTGTATTGTAAAATAAAGAGGAAAGTAAAAGCTCACAAGACAGCATCAAACAGGATGTGATGATAAATAAATAATACTTACGTAACATTCTGAATATATAAAACAATTTACTATGAGGTAACAGTAGAAATATTGGGCAGCACCTAATTCGACGAGGTGAGTAAGCAGACATCAATGAAGTCAGTTCACTTGAAGAGATTAAAATTTGCTTTAATATTCATAATTCAGTGCAGAAGTGGATCATCATAATTACGCATGGATTAGTTACTTCGTAATTTTTATTCCAAATTCGTGAAATATACTTCATTAGATCAAGGCAATGATGACATAGAATTATTCATCTTTCAGATGCGTAGTCACCGAAGACCACTCTAAACTATATTCTGATGACTTCGAAGTAATTTATGTTTGAGAAAAGCCAAAATTGTACTATTTTCCAATTACCGAAGGTGTAAACTAATCACTAAACCACCATAAACATAGTCTTTTTGGCTCTCGTCTAATACTGTGTTGAGTGAGATAAATAGGTTCAACAATAACGGACTGAAGGAAGGAAGTTATTGGTCCTCAATTTTTAACAAGTATGGCATACATTTGAATCCTGTGTCTATCTGCCACCATTCGCACAACCACTAAGCAGGGGTAGCTTATTACTTATTACTATCATTTCTCAGGCATCTTGTGATCTCGTGTGTGATCCAATTCATCGCCTTTATCTAAACTGGTCTTTGTCGGACCGCCAACTAATGAGAACAGCCATTGCTAGCCAATAACAAAAATACATTCTCACATCTGTGAACCGACTTTATTGTAGTAAAGAAAATGTATAATTATCACGTGTTGTTTCCTAAAACATACAGTATCTTACAGTCACACGCCAGCCTTGGTCTTTTGATATTTGCGTCGGCTCAGTGAATCGGATGGTACAACGGATATAATAGGCGTATTAGCGTACCATTCGAGTTCATCACCGTTATAACAATTAGCAGCGCAGATATAAACAAAAGGCAACGGAGTTTTATTCAGATCAGTGCAGTTATAACAGTTACATAAAGAGAAAAAGAGTAATATTGATATAATTATAAACCTTGGGCATTGTGTTAGAGTATAACTCCATTATGGATAAGATTTTATTTTGATAAATCACAGTGTTACACAGTAATATTAACTGATGACGTTTCGAGCACAAATTATTGCTCATAATCATATCAAGTTACTCACACAACTTTTTCCTTCATTTATATATATGAGTGGAATTGACTAGATATTTGAATAAAAATCAATATGAGATAATGTACATTCAGAGATAATAATATGAGTGTTATTGATCAAATACAATTAGATGGGAAATAACACGAGTGTTTTTATACTCATATTAAGTAACTTGTGAGGATGTTGTGATGTGCTTAATTGAAATAGAATTTTGAGATTATTTATTATCCTCTTCTGATTTGACTGGAGGTAATAATATCTTCCATATTTCTGGTATTTGCATTCAGTCGTTTCCGCTGAATGTGTTGGTTGTAGACTCAATGAACTAGGATTCAGTAATCAATCTCTCTCTTCACCTACCTAGATTAATTCTTAATATTTTAACCCTCTCCTACCCTATTGTGTGTTAATGCATGCAGTGCAGTATAGCGCTAAGCCTTTTCCAAAATCACTTTTCTTCCATTCTCACCTTAGCTAAATTATTATGTTCCGACAATCTGACTACCCCCGATCTACTAGTTTGACGTATGTAGTTGACCTCATAGCCACTGCAAGGTATTTTGTAAATTATGTTATTTTGTCTAATTGGGCCCACCGGGTCTTTCGCCTACATAGCTTGTCTCTGAGTGAGTTTGTAGGTTTGAATGCCACCCTAATTCCTGCTTTATTTAGAATCCTACGTAGGGTCTCAGATGTCCCCTCCTTATATGGTATAACAGTAGATGACTTATATTCTCTCTTCTTTGTATTATCATTACTAGTTTCATAATTATTTTTATTTGGATTTTGGCTTTTTTCGATCTTCCTAATGAATTTTACAAGATAGTTATTTAACACCAACGCCTCTTCTATCTGTTTCATTTCATCATTTAGGTCTTTTCTTGTGCTACTTAGTGCTACTGCTCCGTTTGTTAGACGCTTAACTAAGCTTGCTTTATCAGTTAACGGATGAGATGAATTAAAGTCTAAATATCTATTAGAATGCGTTGGCTTTTTACAAACACTAGTGTGCAGTTTACCTTCTTCTGTTCGTTTAATTTTACAATCTAACATAGCTAATTCTCCTTGTTCATTTTCCGATTCAAATGTGAACTTTATTCCCTTTACTAGTGAGTTTATATGCACCAAGAAACTAGAGATATGTTCTGTTTTTAGCACCGTGAATCAAAGTCTCATCCACATATCTCCACCATATTTTTGGAGTGGGATTAAATGTATTAAGAGCAATATTTTCCCAACTGTTCATAAAGATATCCGCTACGCTAGGGGATATTGATGATCCCATTGCCACACAATCTGTTTGTTTATATATTTTGCCCTGAATTTTAAAGATAGTAGGTGTAAGGCATAACTGAATTCCTAAAATAATTTTCTCAATGGGCAGCTTTGTCCTATGAGTGAGTTCAAGATCTACAGTTAGTTCCTTTTTAACTGCTTCTAAGACCATTGAGTCTACAACCAACACATTCAGCGGAAACGACTGAATGCAAATACCAGAAATATGGAAGATATTATTACCTCCAGTCAAATCAGAAGAGGATAATAAATAATCTCAAAATTCTATTTCAATTAAGCACATCACAACATCCTCACAAGTTACTTAATATGAGTATAAAAACACTCGTGTTATTTCCCATCTAATTGTATTTGATCAATAACACTCATATTATTATCTCTGAATGTACATTATCTCATATTGATTTTTATTCAAATATCTAGTCAATTCCACTCATATATATAAATGAAGGAAAAAGTTGTGTGAGTAACTTGATATGATTATGAGCAATAATTTGTGCTCGAAACGTCATCAGTTAATATTATTGTGTAACACTGTGATTTATCAAAATAAAATCTTATCCATAGTGGCGAAAGAAAGAGTAATTCCAAGTGCCAGGATTCACCACATTGTAGCGGTAAATAATTCCTCAAAATTATTAGCTCATAGCTTTCATCATTCGACAGTGGGTGCTAACCTTCACTGTTCAAGTCGACTGGCTTAACTCAATGTATGCGGTTAAGCATCCACGCTATTTTGGCATATTGTCATTAAGTTGTTCCTATAGGTTCTCTAGCTAAACAGACCGTTGTCGCTAACCTATTTTTCTGATTCCGACATATAATTTGCATTTTAGACTATTTAATTGTAGTTCTGATTTGGTTCACTAACTATTCCCTGGGATTTCAGTGGAACAAGTAGATTGGGGGTTAGAGGAGATATACGCACACTGTCATACAAATGTATCATGCGTACTCGTTGACATCCTTGATCTCTTAAAAAATTAAGTCAACTTGAGAGCAAGTTCCTTAAAATAGATAGAAATCTGCATTTTTTGAATATTTGACTTAAAATATTACGTTCACACTGTAATGCTTAATCGTACAACTGCAAGTCAATATAAGGTCAAAATAAAAGTTGTTTAGAAATAAAAGAACTACCTTAACTTCCAGTGGTATCTTTGCAATATGATATTCACCTGTAACTTATCACTCCAATTCATGGGAATCAATTTGCCAGAACGTGAAGTTGTTATTCGACTCCCAAGAACAGCACTATCAATCATTAAAGAGTGACGATCAATAGGATCCCCGTGAGAACGACAAATAGAACGAATAAGATTCAAATTTCTGTGATTAAAAATGAAAAGAATTGAAATAGCTTCTCGATAGCACTTTAATGATCGACAGCTAATGTACACAATCGTTGGTACATGAAATAACGGCGGGGAAATGAGTAATTTTTAATTACCGAAACAATATCTATAGATCGTAATTACTTCAGCACAAAACAAATGCAGAAACTTAATAAAATAGATCACAGGCTATGGACTTGTATGATCACGAAATGTCTACAATTTTGGTAAGGTTAGTGTTACATTCTGCATACAAAATGAAGTGTGAAGAGATTCCCGTCAGCTAAACCATGTATAGTTGATATTAGATGGTTGGAGGCAATCGACAGGAAGTCTTGGACCTAAGTCTCGTGCTAGTTAGCATTCATCAGCAAGGCGTATCTACAACGTTGAAGGAACTCATGTCCCTTCTGAGATTCAAGCCCGTGTCGAGAAATTACCACTGAGCTCTTCGGACCGACGATTGATATCCTGTAGGACTGTATTGAATATTTGTGATTGGACACTAGTCAGTAACCACTGTAAGGTGTCTAGTTATGTCTTTGATTCAGACTGAATTCTATCAGTCAAGTTTGCAGCGTGGCCACAATGCTAGGTCCCAACTAGTACGAAACCTAGGTCCAAGGCTTCCTCCCGATTGTCCCTAACCACCTAATATCAACAATTCAAAGTGCACTGTGATGGCGAGCCTCATAGCATTGTGGCCACCTTGTAAAGTTGACTGATAGAATTCAGTCTGCACCAAAAAAAGGACTAGACACATAGACACACTTTTAGGCGTCCAACCATTGCCATATTTCTTGACTTGAAGGCGGCCTTCGACTCTGTGGATCGAAAGGTACTATGGCAATGTTTGACTGTGAAGGGAGTGCCAAGAAAGTACATTGCACTAATCAAGGCACTCTACTCAAACTCACGTAGCCATGTAAGGGCTTATGGGGAATTGTCATCTGAATTGATAACAACCAATGGTGTCCGTCAGGGATGTCCACTTTCCCCATTTCTGTTTAACTTCATCGTAGATATGCTAATGGAAGTATCCTTAACTGAACTTAACGACTTAGGAATCGACTTGTTACCAGGAAATAGTCTTATGGACTTAGAATATGCAGATTACATAGTCCTGTTAGGGGAGGATGCTGACAAAATGCAGAGTCTTCTGAACACCTTGAGCAGCAATCTTCGTATGTTTGGCATGCGACTCACCCCTGTAAAATGTAAGATGCTGCTACAGGACTGGACTACGTCAACTCCTAGCTTAGTGATAGGGAGTGAAGTGTTAGAACATGTTGACCACTTCACCTATTTAGGAAGTTGTATCAGCACCAACGGATTGATTGGTGACGAAATCTCAGCACGGATCCAAAAAGCTCGAGCTGCTTTAGCTAACTTACACCATCTCTGGCGTAGGCGTGACATCCGACTATCAACCAAGGGACGTGTGTACTGCTCAGCAGTTCGCTCCGTCTTTCTCTATGGCTCTGAAACATGGCTAATACGAGTTGAAGACATGAGAAGTTTGACTGTTTTTGATCATAGATGTCTACGATCTCTTTCTCACGTTAGGTGGCATAATAAGGTAAGTAATGTTGACGTTAGGCGTAGAGTGTTGGGCAAAGAGGGAAAATCAATCGAAGAGGCTATGAAGTTACATAGATTGAGATGGTTAGGTCACGTGCTGCGCATGCCTAACCATCGCCTCCCCCGACGGGCATTACTAGCTGATATAGGTGCAGGTTGGAAAAGAGTAAGTGGTGGCCAAACAAAAACATGGCATCAATCCATGAAATCCTTGACAGTCAAACTGAGTCAGATAGGGAGATGCAGACTTCCGGGTTGGGGCCCTCGGGACTCTAAGAATCAATGGCTGGAGACAATAGGTGACATGGCTCAAAATCGTTGTCAATGGTGCAGATGTATTCAGTCTCTGTAATCTTTCATATTCCTTTCTACCATTACTCATTCTGTTTCACTCTTATACTTGTCAAAACTCTATTGATTCTCTTCACTCATTTTCTTGTCTACGTTTGTGTGCTCTTTGGAACGTGGCAACTCGAACTGCTGCACTTTGGTGCCAAGTTCTATGTTGAATCCAGACAGACAGACACACACACACACTAGTCACTGACTAGTCTTCAATCAAAGTGTACTATGTATAGGTAACAAACAAAGAAGATTCAGTAAAACTGCACATGGCTGAAAGTTGTAACACATCAAATGAACACACCGAAAGTGTTGTCAAGAGAAGAGAATTCGAGATGATGATATCGGGTTAGACAACTCTCAAGGCGAAATCAAACAAAGAAATTGGGATAGTAAGCTTTTTCTCATCCTATTGTTGATCTAAGCACTTATACAATTTAGTTACTTCAGTTGAAGGCCACGACCAATTGATTCAGTACCGCGAAATACTCTACACCGAACAGACATGATGTATAAGGTTACCTCACCATAAGCGAAAAACACTAAAAAAGCACCCGTTCTTGCATAACTTTCAGGCAAATAATAAGATAAGGAGTAGTACCATGCGGTTGCTTAGTTGTGCAACAAATAGTGTGATTTAGAAGGAAAACAGTTGAGTTCGCAAGTTCATCACGACAAACCCAGAGTATCAAAAGATACTGACCACCTTAAACATGACGAAAAGTTTTACTGACTTAGTAAGCTAACCATTCAGCACCAAAACAGGAGCAATGTATTATATTATCATTCGTCTCTCAGGTTCAGAGTGGAACACAGGGCTTCAGTGCTACAGCCTCATTCCACCAGATCCTCTGTCATCATTTTCAAAGGGGCCCCACGACTGTCCACAATCGATCGTTTCCATCTCATAGAGTCTTCGCCTAGTTACCCACCGACGCCTAACCCATCGCTTTCTATTTGGGTTCTACTCAAGACTCTAGTGTGTAACGTCACTCAGACGTCTCCTCAGTGTATGTCCAATCTATCTCCATTCCCTTCTGTATATTTGTTGAGCGAAAGGTTCTTGGCTGGTTCATTGCTAAAGTTCCCAGTTACTTATCCTTTCCGGTCATGTAATCTTCAGTATCGAGTTCGAATGGTAATGCGAGAGATCAAGTTTTACAGGAAAAAATATAAAATATATATATAAAAAATAATATAACACGACAACCGTATAACCAGTGACACTTCAGGGGTTAACGTATTGTGCAGATATTCTAACGACGTAGAAAGTGGAGTAATAGAAAAACATAACCGTTTATTTGTGAGTGTAAAACTAGGCTTCAACATAATAAACAAGGCTATTACTCTACACTAGCTTACGTTACTTAAGTAATTTTCATACTGGACAGAGCAAGAAACCTCTTATTTTGTCTATGACCATAGTTAAAACAGCTGAAGAATATATCGAGACAAATCCATCAATTTCTCAAAGTGTAACATCATAACAACCGTTTTCTGCATGTCAGTCCTTTTACTAAGTACAAATACCTGTTTTCTATAACCCACTCCCACCGGTTTTTCTGTCCTTCAGGTTTCAACTACCTAATACTGCTTAAAGCAGTTGCAATTTTCGAAGTTTACTTTTGAGCTGCTATCATCAGTTTGTGTTTAGGTTTTGTACGTGATTGTGAGCATCAAGCAGTCTTTCCTGAGGTATAATAATCTAATATACACAAAGTACAGATAAATGAATATATCGTATGTGTATGTTTATAAAATTGTAATAACTAAGAGAAACATTGAAATTCTATCACAAAACCGGTCGCTTTACTTTATTAATGATTTATTTCATACATTACATTTGCTTCGATATAATTCCAATTACTTACCTGATGAACAAAAGCATTGGGCGCGGCATTTGTTCAAGAACCGACATTACTCGGTCAAAATGTTCCATTGCTGTTGAGCGTAAATAGGCTCTATCTGCATCTGAGAGTTGTGATGGCAATCTGATTGTTCGGCGACGCCATGGTCTCTGTAAGATAACTTCACCGAAAGTAGCCCAATCTAAACAGTAAAAAATGATAGAAGAATCAGTCAGTTTACTTCTCTTTTTTCTGTGTACTGGAATTAGAATTTTACAATTACAAAGACGCTATCTGAAGCAGGAGCAGACAAGAGGAAATTAAGAAACAATAAAATATAACTATTTACTACGATATGCAATGCTTCAGTCAAACGGTTAACGGTTCATATTAGATAAGTTGATTTTAAACATTACACATTGATGCAGTACCAACAACTGGATGAAGTTTCAAGCATAAATTATTGTTCATAATAATATCAATTCAATCAGACGGTTTCACAATTTGTCTTATATATATTTTCTTTTTATCTCTCTCCAACTTTCCCTCGTTGGGAGGTTTGTTCGAAACTAACCAGCCTCAAAAGGAATATCATACCTGATTCATTTAGTCAATACTTACATACATACAGATATGCATACAGCACTAAATCAAAACGCAAAGCTTTGTTTGACCGGATCAAGGAAATATACTGATCCATGAATTCTGTAACTACTGACCTAACTTATGAAGGGAATTGTAACCTACATTACTAAGGTCCCATAAATGTTAAGGAACAGTTGTTGATCGCGTTCAGTGATATGGCCTACAGTTTATCAGTGGCATGGATATATTCACTCTCTATCAGTTTTGAAAGCTAAAAAATTTCACTAGTCATCAAATTATCATTCTATTTCCGTTGATTTGTTTCCTTCCATGTACTGTAGAGAACTATAATAATTTTAACTGCTGTCCAAGACACCATGTTGAACTATCTATCCAATTAGTTACCAATGTAGTGAATATATTTCAGCACTAGGTTTAATCAACAGAACAGTCGACTTTAATGATTCAAAACCCTTTCCTTTTCTTTTGAGTGCATAGTCTAGTGTAAGAGACATTCAAATAGAAACAGATACATCTCAAACAAATTCAGCGATGAAAATTTATTCACCAAGTGAGCTTTATCGGTAGTTCAATGTGCCAATAATTTCTTAATTTGGTTTTGACAAACTACTGAACTCGTAGGCATCAAGCTGTATGAAAAACAATTGGACAGTCATTTTAACATGCTGTTCAGTTAGTTATCAGGGTATCTAATAGAATATTTTATCATGAAAAGTGAATATAATGAACAAATTAGTAATACATGTGACAAATCCACATTGCCTAAAGTCTCCAACCACTTACATCCGTCGTAAAACGGAATGTACCTCCAAAAACAATTTTTTATGAAAATACAGTAGCATGAATATGTGATTATAAATTAGGTGGAAGGTCTAGAATCTAGTTGAACTGACAAAGAGAAGACATGATGCTTTTTCGTTTAAGCCTTTCAGCAATTATTTATCACTTGTATTCTTTCAGTGCAAATACCCAGTAACCCAACCAACTTGTTGACTATATAGTTAAAAGGAATATTATCATTAAAATGTATCTAAATCATAGAAAGTAAAGAGGCCTATGCTAGACCTCGTATCAGCAACAAATGAGAACAGAAGAAAGATGATAAATTTACCTTCAATACCTAAAAATGAAGATGCTTCTTTCATTACTGATTCATTGGAATCTAAAATGGCCTGATACATTTTGCATAAAGCTTTCCGTTTATCGCTTGGAAGAGTATCATACAAACCATGATCTAGAAGAACCAGTTGCATTTCAGTTGAACCTCGACTTGCATTTGGATGAGTAAACAATTTATGTTCACGATTTTTTAGTTTTTTTACGATGTTGACGGGGAAATAAAACAGAAATCCCATCCATGTGAGTGTATCAAATAAAATGTTGGGTATACTTTGAATAGATGATTTGATTTTCTGAGAAATACCTAACTTTATCTGAGGTTTCCGTCGTACTAGTAGGTTGCCTGGATGTGGATCAGCATGTACAAAGCCAGTACAAAACACCTGATGACTAAATGCACGAACCAACAAGCGATCCAACTCAGCTAGTGAGAAGCCAGCATCCCGTAGAGCAGATACCTAAGCAAATAACAAAATCATTTAGAAAATCCAGCTACGATGAATGACTTTCATGCCAAGTATACACACGACAACAGGTTAAAAATTTTGATAAAAGTAATTGAAACTGGACCAGTGCTACAGTCTCGTAACCTTGTTGGTAGGGGGCATTAGAACTGCTCCCCCCTGTCGCGACCCAGACTTCTATCACAATCTTAATCACCATCTCTCTCTATCTAGGTCAACTAAAAGCCAATAAGGCAGGTTTGTAGGTTTAGAACAACGGCCAATATCACATGAGTTTAAGTGAGGATATCTGCTGAATTAACTGGATTATAACTTTATTACATTTTCTGATTATATTACCCAACTATCTGTCTAATAACTAACCAACACACGGGTGTTTTCCTGCTAATGATATACCCAATAGCACTTTTACGATTATAATATGAATCAGTCAGAAGCATATAAGATAGCCAACTGAGCGAACAGAGAAAGGAAGGTACTTATATTTAGCAAAACTAAAGCTTATTGAATAGTAAAAATGTCTGCGATGTTAAAATAATGGAACTAAATATACACAGAAATTGGCCTGGTAAAAATAAAAAGAGGAAATTTACAAACTTAGCATATGATTAAGCACCAACTACTTTGATATGGACACTCGTTAATTCCAATGACTATTAGTTGAAATTCCTCCACGCGAAAAAGATTAGATTGAGAGTGACGACAATGAGAACAATTACTGCTCTGATATCTGTGGCTTGAACCGTAGTGTGTGTCTGAGGGAAAAGCCGTACTATAAGCTGGAAGGAGTATAACGAGCTATTGATAACCCAGTAATGTAGATTTTATTCTGGCCCAAAAAAATTGTATACCTCAACTTATCCTATTGCATAATTGACGTTAGATGTAGAGTTTTTCTGACGAGCTAAACTCTAAATAATCTAACACCTTTAAACGGATAGTATGTGACCGGATTCAAACAGATGTTCTTTAGAACGCTAAGCCATACAGCACTAAATCTCCTACTTTTTCAGAGAGAATAAAATAATAAGTTCCGCAGTTATTTACCATAAAATGTCGACCATGTCGCGCATCTCTGCCAGTTCACATCTTTTTGGTTATTGAAAAGTTCTTGGTTGCTATATAAACTCCCCGCTTTATCCTACCTAACAAATCTACAATATTTGTACTTTTTACCTCTCTAATTTGCGCTATGAGGAACAGTAGGTCTGGTTTCTTCAGTCAGCTTTCACGACTGTATTAGTGTAGGTAGAGCATTAAGTTGTAGCAAACATTTCGGTTAAACTGGATCTCAATGCTCGTAATTTCGCCGGCAAGGTTCAGCAGCACTATTATATAACTAAGAACTAAGCAGAACTATGACACAGACTGATATCCATTTTACATTGTCTGTTCATGCAACCACTGAGTGCATCCCAAAACTCTTACAATAGTAGATTCTACCAAGGGCTGTTTGCTCTCCCGCCAAAAGCAGGACGATGAATTGTGGTGTTTATGCGAAAACAGATAGTCTGGCCACTTTCCCAGGACCAGTTTAACCTAGCATAACTGGGTGCATAAAACAGTTCATTCCCATCCGGCACTAGTTTTAGATATAAAGAAAATTGTTATGTGAAACAGCAATCTTCACACTTATCCCAACAAAAGAAGGAGGTATATGGTATCGTAGGAGAGGTTCAGTAGACAACTACCGATTTTTCCAGAATATATACCTCGATAGTAGCCACGCTTTAGTAAGCATATCAGTAACCGCAAAGTAATGGAAAACCTTCACCGGCCCAATCATATAGTGAAGATAGTAATGTAAGCAGACAGCTGCGGGAAAAAGACATTGAGATAACCGTATATGCGTGGTATAATTTTAGGTGTGATGTCGAAATCGCTGTGGATGATGTTTTGGACCCTAAGAAATGAATGGAAGATCTCAGCATTTTTCTTTTTGGAATTATGAATGAAAAAGATACATACACTAAGGCTTCAGATACAATGAAGACTTAAAAGAACCCACACAAAGATTCCAGCCAATAGTGGGAAGCAGAAATAAAAAATGGAGAAGACAGTGGCAACACGTTTTAACAATAATCTTTACGTTGATCAAAGAGAATGGTGTTAAAATCCACTGACAAAGAGGTGACTAGAACAGAGACCATCACACTTTGAGAGGAAGAACAGTTCAACTAGTTTCCAGCTATTCTGAATTTTTGTGGAATTTTCACAATTTTAGTTGATATTCTATTTGCTACTTTTTATTATTATTATTATTATTATTATTATAATTGAAGAATCTTTAATGAACTGTAATTGCATTGACCATACTTTGCAAATCGATATTATTTAAAAAACACTAATATTTTTATTGACTACTAATCTAGAATATTCTATGCATATAAACATATATATATATAATTGTAGAGCCAGAAGAGGAGTTTATCGAGAAGGATATTCTTTGCTCAATTATTTTACATTCTCTAGTTACCGACTACTCCGTCACAACCAAGATAGGAGATTAAGGGACGAACTTCAATACTTGCGGAGAGAGAAAAAACCACGAGAAACCTTAGTCAAAAAGCAGCACATCCTGATAGACTATTTCTATTAATATTCAAAAACCTGTTCGGCAATAATAACTAAATTCACTGAGATCTCAGATGAAGTTTAGAAACCTGAGATAACTCCCTTTAATTAGTTTCAATCAAGAGCTATCGAAGTCTTCAAATGACGAGAAAGATCTTCTATAATGAAAAGAACTAGCTTTACTAATGTCATTTCTGAAGCTTGTATAGTCTAAATGGAGCTTAGGAATATTATATCCAAAATTGTGGCATTACTTTGATAAGACTTTGAACAACATATTGTGTTCTGAACATCATCTGATAAAAAGACGTGATATATTGTACAAAGTGACTGAAACCAATTCACTTTGACCCGAGATTCTCGAACACAAACATACATGTGCCTAACTGTAAATGAATCTCTTAAACTGAAGGGCGACATTCGACACCGTTAGAGGAAAAGCCGTACTACAGTGTCCATTAAGTTCATTTCATTACTGGAAGTTCTAAGCTGGAATACTCGTTAAAAAGAATCATGATATTCCGTCAAGAGTTTAGAAAGGGTGGTCCGAGAACAATATATATTTCTCTTCATTTTAACTCAATTATAAAATATACAAATGTAGATATGATTTCCTCATTTATTCAATTTTATTCCCTTTATTTGGAGTACAGATATAGGTTGTAAAAGTCTATCACATTGTGTAATAATGCTAGGTCCTAATATGACGTCTGTATGTGTGTGTCTTATTAATAAACAAACAACGCGGGATGAAATCCCTTAAACTGACACGATACAACATTGCAATGAACAGCTACGTATGAGTGGTTTCGGTTGATATTCTTTTTTCCTGGAGATTCAACCTGGTCAATCTTCTGATAACTACTTTCAAAATTATCATATTCACTGCACCACAGTGATGCTTTACACGAACAACTATACGAGCAACTTCATCCATGTAGTTCTACAACGCCGAGTATGTACGGCTTACCCAAGGTACACAAACAAGACATTCTACTACGCTCTATATCACTTAATCACGAGGTGGCTGGTAGAGATTCTTGGACCGGTGGAAGAAAAGCTGCCGAGATACAATATCCGGGACATATTTGACTTCACTGATTCAATTAAGAATGGCAATACTACAGACTTTAAAATATGATCCTCTTGGAAGTCATCTCTCTCTTCACGAATGTCCCACTGATATAAACTATGTATTTTTTTTATGAATTCAGTCAATACAGTAATATCAGTGTCAGCCTATCCATTCATCATTGAAAGCAGCTGTTACTCTAACGCATTTTCAACGTTTACTTTAGATTCAGTAACGAAATTTACACGTAGACAGATGGCGTAGCAATAGGTTCTCCCCTAAGGGTTCTCTTTTGGCAGGACTTTATGGCTAGTCTAGAAAATAATTTCTTATAATTAACTATCAATGACCTTCGCCTCTACAAGAGATACATTGATGATACCATTATTTGTGATGAGAATTTAGATCTCGGAAAACTACTCAAAAACTTCAGTAATACCCACGCAAACATCAACCTCACTCTAGAAATTGAAACTGATTCAATATTTCATTTCCTCGATAATCGAATGCGAAAAAATGCTGATAACTCGCCGAGGATATGCATATACAAAAGACCCACGTGAAATGGACAGCTTATCAATTTTCAAAGTCGCATTGCTCTAAGCAGAAAGAAAAACCTTATATATTCTCTCCCCTCAAGGATCCGCAAAATATGTACCGAGGGATCTATTGACGAAGTGCAACGTCTTCGAGGAATCTTGATGGAAAATAGCTTCCCACTCAGATTCCTAGAAAAAAACCTAAAAACAAAGAGAGCTTCTGAATAGGCCCAAGTAGCTTAATCTCGAATTTAAAAGTGATACTGAGGAAATTCTCTAATAACGGTTTTCGAAATCCCTTAGTAAAACATACTTCGCCGACAGCCTACAAGTAACATTTTCCTGCAAGAAACTATTCACCTAGTACGTGAAAGAAAAGCTGTCGCATTGGGCCACTCCAACATACATATACCAGTTCATTTGTTCTTGTGGAGCTAAGTACATTAACCGTACCATGTGTCCGCTTGGGTAGAACAGGGAGAACGTAGTAATGTAAATAGCTCGGTAACAGAATATCTAGTGAACTCAGAACATTAAGCTCCATTTCAAAAGCCCTTTAAAGTCCGATACAAGATCCGATCAAACCTCCCAAAGAAGACCAAGGCTTCTGGACATAGCTGAGGCATTAGCGATCCAAAGTTTAAGCCCACGCTATTTATTCAAAAGAAATACGTTTCACCTTTCTCTTTACCATAGCCATCACTTGATCAATTTCCTCAATAGAAGTTATCCTATTGCTTTTCCTATCTACACATCCTACCTATTTAGTTATTACTATGTTTCTAATCTGTATTTGCACGAAGTTAATTTTCTCAATAATTATGATCCTACTGTGTTTTCATCTAACCTTCCTGTTTATTTTCTTATTATTACATTTTAACCCTTATTTTTAATCTTATTGATTTGATCCTTGACCGGAGGTAGTTTACGCACTTCCTCACCCATTTACCATATATACACGAACGCTAAGTTTAGTTGATGACTTCGTCGAAAAGAAAATTCTCTTTACTGCGACTGTCTTTTTAATTTTTCCTATGATCGAATATCCAGGAGCACACAGGTAAACCTCACATCCACTAGCAGAAGTTTACTGGTGGCCTAATTACCCTCAACATTACTCTTGAGTCACCAATTGCTTTCTAACAAGTAGTTTATGGTTAAATTGGTGACTAAATTATAACACAACTTCCAGTTAATTCTAACTACCTTTATGGAACTAACGACATTTAACACAATGCAATAAAGCCCCTTCTAAAATCAACTAATACCAAATGTGGTCAGCCACTAATAATTAGATGGATGAATATAGACAAAAGCATTCTCATGGTGCATACAGAAATTATTTGATTTTTACCTTCGCTGCCTACAATACAACCACAATACTTTTCAGTCCCCCCAGAAAACTAACACTTTAAATAACGCAAGGTTGCTTAGTGTTCTGGCATTATTCATGAACTATTTAAAATTTATGCGTCGTTTTGTTTCATTTTCCATGAATTCGAACCTTATCAACTTGAACATACGTCTTACTTTATTCTAATACTCCACTTGCTTGAAAACTAAATTAATCAGTTACGGTCGGTCGGTTTTCGGCATAGAACTTTGCACATATGTGCGGCAGTTCAAGTCGCTACACTCCATGTAGCACACAAAGCAAGTGAAAAAAGTAGAAGAAATGCATAATATAGTCAGTTAACAGAGGTGTGAGACAAAGGAATGGTATTAACGGAGAACAAAACAGTTTAATTGGAAATCATAGGTCACAAGGAGTGGATGCATCTGCGCCACTGAGAACGACTTTGAGCCATGTCACCAATTGTTTCCAACCATTGGTTTTTACCGTCCCGAGGACCAGGAAGCCAGTCTACACCTTCCTACGTGGCTGGCTTAGACTAACTGTTGTGGATTTCATTGACTGGTGCCATGTTTTCGTTTGACCGCCGCTAGCTCTTTTCCAGCCTGACCCTATATCAGCTAACATTGCCCGTCGAGGAAGGCGATGACTAGGCATACGTAGCACATGTCCTAACCATCTCAGTCGATGTAATTTCACAGTTTCGTCGACTGATTTCCCCGCCTTACCTAGCACTCGACGCACACACAGATGAATTAAACATGCGACTCAATTTCATTAACATTACCCAATTTTGAATCATTGTAGCTTAGAGTCTACAAGCCAACTGGTAATTACACGGTCAAATGACAGTCATCATACAGAAAGAAATGTGGTACCACTAATTCCTACGCAAGAGTTGGAGTTAAAAAAAGTAGCATACGAAACAGGAATTATTTAATAATTTGCTTACATATAATTTCGTACTGTCAAATGAAGGAATACGTCTATTAGTAATAAACTCACTTGATTAACTTTGATACCATCAATGAATTCGGCTGTAAGGACGCGTTTGCTGGTTAGCTTACGATTTACCCAAGGTACATGAACGGAACCATTGTTTTCTAGTGTGCCCAGACTCGCTAAGTCAGCAATACAACGAGCAGCATTATCTGCCTCATTTTCAAAGTCGAGTTCTTTGGCCAGTGTTTCCTAAGGAAGTTATAAAGCAGTGTAAACAGATAGAAATGAAAATCTTGTCCAATAGAATTAAGTACATTAAGTAATGGGTTATCATATCGAAACATGGCATCAATCCATGAAGTCACATGATCATAACACAACCATTTCAATTAAAGTGAAGGAACATGAACACCACTCTGCAATGAACTAATTAAAACAACTAGTAATTAACATTTAATCAGTTTAACCATCCTAAAATCCAAGAAATGTATTGTGTTAAGTACTATTTTCTTTTAATTCCTTTAAGTTCCCAGTGGAACATAGGGCTTCGAACTAGAGCTTTGACGTTTCAGTGGCAGTGGTATTTATTTTCATGGGATGGGGATGGTAGCCTCATGCCCAACCTTCCCTCTTTATCAGTCTTATTACTGGTTTAGCGAGGTAAAGGATCCGTCGGTGGGAGATCGCACCCCAAACCACCTGTGTGGTTGGCGAGCATTCTACCGCCGTGCCACCGACGCATTACGTATAAAATGCGATAATTTGCACAGAATTAAACCAGTAGTTAAAGATAATTATTATTTTATTTGCTTCGGCTATCTCCTACGGAAGGATGAGCCGGCTTCATGAACATCTCGAATCATCGCTGCCCAGGCGCAGAGATCTGATGAAGAGAGTTTACGAAGTTTCATGGGAATTTGGTACGAGTGATGTCCCCAGAATCGCTCGGCCTTTTGTTTGAGAGTGCAGCTCTAGCCTTTACACAACCAAGTGTGACCTACAAGGCAGTAGGAGTGGAGTAGGGAGTCCACTATCCATTGGCAGCCGGTGACCGGAGTTCGGTTCATACGCCTTTTTGAATGGGGCCAGACATCCAGGACATCCAACAAGCCCTTTGTCCATACGTCTGCCGGTGAGCTCCAGTGAGCTTCATACGCCAGTCGTTGGAGGTTTGGAATCAGGGTTTAACCATCTCCCCTAAACTGTCATCCAATGGACAGTCAACCCGGTGAAGAGCGCCGGGCATCCGCTTTCGCCCTCTCACTTTGGTGAAAAACACCTCCGCCACGTGAAGGCAGTGAGTAGGACTTCCTCAGGAGAGGCTATGTAAGACGCCCGGTCATATGGGAGCATTTCAAGAGGTGTGCGAAGGGGTGGCCAACCCGCAGCGCAAAGCACCCACCCCCGACCATCCTGAGGCTTTGGAGGCAATATCCACATTATAATTAATGTATGAAGTAAGAACAGCCAGTTGGTTATTGAGATAGTGACCCTCCACCGAATGAACGGGAAGTGCAACACAAGGCAACCACTGTCTACACTTATGGTGAGAGCTGTCTGTCTGTTGCGCTGTCAAACTCTGACAACAATCGTTCAACCAATGTCTTCCAAGACGCTGTATCACCTGACCTCTCTTCGCTGTCATATGCCGCCTTCGCTCGGCCTCTCAACAGCGTCCCCAGCACAACCTCATTCGCCGCCAGCACCTTGACACCCACTAACTCAGCAACGGCCTCGAATAACCGTATGTCTCCGTCTTCAAACGCAGTTGGCCATGGGATCTTCAGTGTTTGGATGCTGCGACACCAATTGTAACGACAGAAGACAAGGGCCAGGAAACAGATCGTTTATTGAGAAAATCAAGAGATATTTATAGATTTTTATGTACATTATTATTCGTTATTGTAAGCAGCGAAGCAACGTCTTCTGATTGGTTGTTTTCTTTCTGAAGGTTATTCTGTCATCTCTTTGTGACCGTTTCTTAGAAAGTCAGGCCAAATATCTGCAAATCGTATCCGCCCACATTAAGTCTGCTGTGATTGGTTGGTGAGTTCTCCAAGGTTAAGCTTTGTTATTGTATTTTCTCATGACCCTCATTCGGAACGTAATCACTGACATAAATTGTTGTCTACAATTTTGGCTAGCAGACAGCTCTCACCACACCTTCCCGATTAATGCTTAAAATAAGATCAGGTTCACATAGAGTAAGACAATGTCAGAATAAATTGTGACACAATCATGCAATCACTGGCTGTTGCGTAAGGCCATACAGAAAGACGTCTGTCTGTCTGGAGTTCACAGTATACCGAAAGTCTATAGTTGGGAATTCTTAGTGAAATGCCTAAAATCATCCATAATGGTTTAGATGCTTTCACTTTCATTACCTCTCAGATTCTGAGTCTTTTCATAAATTGCGTTAATTTGTTTCTCTCTATAGCCACGTTTGTCCACTGTGTTGTCATGTGAATTTTGTCAAAGTGTAGCAACTTGAGCAGACGAAAACCTGATGCTACATCCTATGTTGGTTCGTTGCTCATGAGAAATTAAGGATTTTTGTGGTAAACTTAAGCCTTATGACTTTCTCAGAACCTAAACACTATAATTTCAGAAAGAAATACAAAGGAGAAAACTAACAGAGGTGCGAATTGGCAACAGTGTAAAGCGAGGAAGTGAACAGAATTAAAGCAATATAGAAATACACATAGAGAATAAGAAAAAATAGATTGATAATCGCCATCCACACATTAAGGAACTACTTGTTTTCAATAATATGAAAAAAGCCTCATTGACTGGCTCTGTGTGCTGTTCTTGTAATCTCTGGTAAATTTCTAACTGGATAATAATTCAAATAATATTGCTCTGTATGAGGTACAAAGCGTTTCCCGTTAGCTGAATTCAATAAAGATCTTTTTACAAGGAAATTTAATGAGCTCACTATTACTCATAATATATATATATATATATGATCAACCTACGGCTTAATATGTCACAGTATATATCCCCTTTGAACTGTTCTCTTAAATAAGGCTTTTTCTTATTCACCCCAATACAGCTTTCGATGGCTATTTCTGTTATAATATTCATGGATTTATGACTATAGGGCCTGCAAAAAAAAACTAATCAAAAACAACTTTTCGCTCCGAATCATCTTATTAAAAGTGAATTCAAAAGAGACAACAGAAGTTTAGGGGGAATTATTTAATAAGTCTTATATCTTATTGTCAAACAGTTTCTAGCAAATAAAAAAGCATACTTCCAGTGATTTATTCGAAATAACTTACACGCATATCTTGTAAAACCCAAGCGAATCCAAAATCAGGATGCATTATTTCAACTAATTTTAAAAGTAACTCAAGGGTTGACATATCCCCATCAAATCGATCACGCAAATCTTCGTACTGAACTTTCACTGCGACTTGCTCTCCTTCATGTGTAACAGCACGATGTACTTGAGCCAAACTAGCAGCAGCTATGGGTTCATGTTCAAAACTGGAATACAGTTCCGAAGGTGGTTTGCCGAAATCTTCCATGAATATCCGATACACCTATTAAAAATTAAGGGAGAATAAGAACTATACACTACACATTAAAAGATTTTGAATGTAAGTGTGAGGAAATATCTAGGATACTAGAAATTGTTTTGAAAAATATAACACAATTTTCAAACAGTTTTACTTATCATAAACTCCCTACACCCATATTAACACTGCGGCAGCCACAGGATGACTACCTAGAAGTTATGTTTGGGTTCGGATAAAATCATTCCGGGATGTCGAAATTCTTCCCCTTTATACCATAGTTATTTGTTTGTCGGTGAGAAGCGAAGCAAAGATGTAAGAGACGAGATATTGATCATAATGCATCCAGCAAAATTTTTAGTGTACGCATTACAAGATATGCCTATAGGAATTAAGTCTTGAGCAACTGTGAAGTACATTGATAGTACAGCAACTTGCTGTAATCACAACCACGTGTTCACGCTTAAAAGAGCCTCAGTAGGTACTCATACAAATTCTCACGAGTTCAAGAAACAGCAAAAAGGTACTTAATTACTCTTACGAATTTAGGCACAGAATTTGGCCTGATTTAGTAAGAACAGTACTAAAAATGTCATATATGGGAAAGGTTTTCAGGACTACTATATTGTTCAGCAAGTTCTTTCCTATCATGTTACAATTTGTACAAACGCATTTTCCATTCACGGTGGGCTCAGCATAAAAATCCGAACTATCCCTTACAAAATAATTCGACTAACCATTTCCGGGTTGTTTTTATTCTCCGAAAAATCTTGACAAATAACCAATACGATGTGACTAATTTATACATTCGGACAGGTTTAAATAAACCATTATCATCAACATCAAGGCAGCGATTATTATCTAGTATTTCTTTCATTGTGTGCAAAAATATCTAGTTCATATTAAATTTTTCCACAACTTGACATTTTGCAAACAATACAGTCCTGTACACTATTCAACATTATCACGCCCACTTCCTTCATAACCTTAAAGTTTACTCCCGTCAAAATATATTTGTAATTGAAGGTACTAAACAAGGTTAGAAAGCAGAACCCTACCTTAGTAATCCTGCAAAACGTTATTCACAGTGCAATCAACTATTTTACGTCAGTTGTAATAAGTGCCATTCTAGATACTGAATAATAATAGAACTTGAACTCAAATATCAGAAAAATAGAGGATTTCTAGAAAGATAAAACACATACTTCGTCTACTGAGCGCATGATAGCTTGGTCGTGCAACTTTTCCAGAGTTTCTGTGTACTGTTTGGGCAAAACATGATTCATACTTGCGAGACCCTGTCCCATTTTGATATACAAACCTCCATTGTGCAAACAGCCCTGAAGAATTCTGTCGGCTGCTCTTTGGTGACATTTTGATATTTCTTTGATGTAGGATTCAGAATCCTAAAAAGCAGGAGACGAAAGTTCATTTACATACAAGTTGATACACTTGCATTCGAGAATACTGTCATGGTCCACTTATAATCCAAAGAAATCAGAGTACCTGTGTAGACGGCTCTAGAGGCAAATAATGACGTATCGGCTACTGTGAATAAAATACCTTAAAAACCTTTTAGTAGTCGAAACATATTTGTAAATGGTGCGCCTGCTTTGGTCTCTTAAGTATACACAGTATATAAAGGAGCCAAATATTGGGACGGTGAATGTTAATCCAGCATAACTACTAAGTTTGATATTTAAACGTGGCAATCCCGACATAACTAAATTACCAAGACCCATATTCCCACATTATTACACAAAACCGAAATGTTGGAGGTCATGCACAAGGCCATGTATCGATGATCAATATGTCAAATCCAATGACATTTTATGAGCTGGTTTTAAATAAACTGTGCTGTTTGCACTTTCTTCCTGATTTTAAAGTAAAAGTTCCTGACTACGGTAAACTTCTGCATAATGTCCAGCCAGTCGACCGTCGTAGCTTTGGTTGACTCCAAGGTGGTGGTTCTATACGCTTTGTAGGATACAGTGCACTAAGAACGTGTCATTGCTGCGAATAATGTTGAAGGCTTCATCAATTATTCGACCACTTTGGCGCAAAAAAATAATAATATTGGCAAATAACAATAAATAAGAGCTTTGACGAGTGTAGATTCCGTAGAATTAAAAAGAAAAACGTACAAACAGACTGATGTTGAAATTTAATGGTAAACAGAATAAATGCTAATAAAATAAGTGAATGAACAGGCGTGGCAGTCAGAAGAGCGGGATAAAGGAAAATTGGCAGTGGTAGATGACTATTTTAGATGTATCCAGATTAGTGTTGTTGTGTGAATTCAAAGGCCATTTGCACGCAGACCAAATGTTGCAGTATGATTTTCCAGCCTACACTCAATTTTATTCGGATGGATCAGTGGTTAAGGCTACTGTTCAAAAGTTGCAGTGGCGTCAAAGCTGGGGAAAAAATTAGGTAGCCTTCTTAAGCTGATCGTACCTAAGTACGGAAAGACCTTTCTTCAGCCTTTCATCATCATCACCATCACCATTTCTGCAGATTGTCTTAGGAGTCTATTCAAAGTACTGGCGTTCGTTCTAAGTAACAAGGAAGAAATGATACTGTACACCTCAAGGCGTGGTCATATGCATGTCTTGCAAAACCCTGGGTAAAGTTCAGGAGTGAACTCGAGGAGTGGCTGTATTGCATATCCCCGATAATCGTAGCGTCTCTATCCGTTGCTCTGTGGGTTGAGCAACAAATTATGTCTTTTATAGGCATATTAAATGAAATTTCGCATTAAAAAAATTTCTGACTCACAAAATATCGGCGGCATAATGTACTTGAACTGCGTTGCATTTGCAGCATCTGTATCAGGAAATGATACTGATTTCTGCTCCATGTGATGGACTAAATACTGTTGGAAGTTCAAAATTTAAACGTTTATTTTTGAATTTTTATGGAATCACACTGGTATATTCGGCCTATTTATTGAGATGCTATTGTCTTAATTGGTTTCGTAGTTGTTGGTATTCATAGCTTGAAGTGCATAATATTATTGCACCCCCACTGCTTAAAAGAGACGCAAACCTCTTGGAAAGAGTCTAACGAAGGGTAACAAAAGGAGTGGTTGGTCTCCGAAACAAACAATATGATGAAAGGCTGAGGAAATTAAGCCTATTCAGACTTCAGTATAGGTAATATTTTATTTTGATAAATCACAGTGTTGTACAGTAATATTAACTGATGACGTTTCGAGCAGAAATTACTGCCCATAATCATATCAACTTGATATGCTCTAACTCAGTGCCCAAGTTTTATACCATTCACACCTAGCTACCTTTGTGGAGTCCTCAGAAAAAAACTTATCCAAATTTTACTACTATGTAAGAAATGAACATACTGTACACTAATTTGTTTTAACCATAAACTCTGTACTTTGAATTTTACCTCGGGTTTCGAATGAATATATAATTCTGCCTTCGACTCTCCGTCTTCTCCACCATCTCAACTGCCATCGAACAATTTTAACCACCTGTTTTCTAACTCGAATTTTCGCAGGAGCACCGTAGTTTCTTCCTACGTACTTTGGTCGACCTCCGGCAACGTCAACATTGGAGAATTAGTACTGGAGCATTCTTCCCGCAGTACCTGGAGTTTATTACGTTTATTGTGGACTTTGGATCTTTGTAAACCCAAGTAACGAAACTTTAATATATTCTTCCCGTAACTAAACTGATTTGGTATTTTATTTTCTATTTGAATTTGGGTAACTAAGCTAACAGAGTAAAAGGTCCACCACACCGTCGTCTTAGGGGGAATTTAATTACTGCCTACAAAATAACCAATGACCAGAATCAACCAAACAGGTGTTCTGCTATTGAGTAGGTATAGGCACCCTCGTGGAAATCCCAGAAGGATAGTTCATCAGAAGGCAAGGACCCGGGTGCGCTCCCACTTCTTTTCACTGCGGGTTTGGCGTCCCTGGAATTACTTTCCGGCAGATGTAGCCATATCATCGTCTGTGGACGCCTTTAAATGAAGGCTGGACAATCATGCAGCAACATAAGGACTGCGTCCAAGTGACCTATCCCCTTAAAATCATATACACTATTCAAGGGAAGACAACTAAATTCATAGTTTTACTTCTTCACATTCTCTCCCGTCTTACTCTTCTGACAATTTTAATTACACCTATTAATATCATCATTATTACCGATATATTTATATATACGATTCATATTAATCTTCTAATTTATTCAGCTGGCTGTTGTTACGTTTTCTTATTTCTTTTTCTGTCTGTAAGTCTGAATAACTTCACTAATTATATCTATTATTATTATCATCTCCTTTGTTTTGATGACGATATCGGAGGACTAACTGGTGAAAGGATCAACTCCATTCACAGTAGTAACAGTCTTAACACACCTCATACTACAAACCACATATAATTAATCCCAGCACTACTCCTTTTGGAGTTAGCCAAACTACGACAGTCGAGTGGCGGGACGAGCTACGCAGAAGTTTACCGAAGATCAGGAACCTATACCTCACAATCAAGAGGCGAGCACAAGGAAATCGAGTTGGTTTATACTAGCTCATTAAAACGATACTGGATAGATCAATTTCAGCATTAATTTCATTTTTCATGTGCCGATAACAGTCAGCTTATCACTTTGAGACAGGAAATACCAGCACTGTGTTCATGATATGTAGTATTAATGTGAATTTGTGTTTCAAGTGGCCTTTATTTTGAGGGAAGATTTATTTAATACAGTATTCCGATTTCATGAACACAACGTAATCTTATGTGTGAAAGAAACCTATTACCTTATTTGGAATAAAGACAAGTTGTTTGGAAGGTGAGGAAGGCTTGATTTCTCCATTGATTCATATAAATACTATTGCGTATCGAGTTGAATTGCAATTCCACATGAAGCAAGATATTACGAATGCCTCGCCATCTCTTCTGCATAGATAACACTGCAATTACTTCACAAGACTCTCCATAACAAGTTCAGTAAGGACAGATGGAAGTTTTTCCACTTTAGTATTATGAGTTAATTTGTGAACTGTTTAGGCTTTTACAGTAATGCATTTGTCAAGGAGACTTCATTTTGAAATCAAAAGTATATATGCACTTCTTGTTGAAAACTCTTAATTGCTATGGCTTCCACAAACTTTATATCGTGTGTCAGTAAAACATATATACATTATTATTGTAGCGGCAAATAATTCCCCAAAATTGTTGACCACAGCCATCATCACTGAACATTGGATGCTGAACCTCACCGTTTAAGTCGACTTGTTTGGCTGAACGCTTCCGGTCAAGCATCCATGCCATTTGGTACTCCGTCGTGTCACGTTTGTGCACGATGACTAGCCAGCTTAGCAATCAACCCGCAATTCGTTTTGGTTCTGAAATATATCTCATAGTTTGGACAATCAATTCACTTGTTTTGCTTTGCCTATGGTCCACGAGAAACGAATATTACAGAAGTTGTTGCTATAAGATCTTCTGTTAGTTTACTCTGTACAATTCGCGAACGTCAATACCGTCAGCCTCTAAATTATCATGTTGTTGATGTCTGCTAACTAGAGTCCAAACTAAAGGCGAAATGACAGCAACCATGTAATTTAACCATAAACTAAATTTATGTAATTTAAACAATACTAATATATGCCTGCACAACTGTTGTGCCCTACACAGGTAGGAACACATATATTTTATCGTATTATCATTACTAAATATGCTTACTAATCGCGTATGTAATTTACCATACTGATGATGCCTGTAAACTGTCTTTCCTCATGTACAAAATTGGGAATATGTTATCATTATACAATCCAAACACGTTTTATAGATAGGTTTTAAAGATTTGTAAACGTCAATTTTATGTCCTGTCTCTATAATATATTTGGCAATAGAGGAGCTAGGGCTCCTGTCCTCATCACCAAGAGGTCCTGAGGATTCTATTTGCTTCTGGAGGCATTTAGGAATATAATGCGAAGCCCTTACTTGCAGACATCGATGAGTCCTCCCTAAGTGGATATAGCGACCTCTTCTAAACCTTATGTCCACAGCTTTACTAGATGTTGGACACTACGCTTACATGATTCCAGAATAATTCTGCGAATTGTCGTTACACAAACGCACATAATATGGCGTGAGGATAATAGCAAAAACCGGGGAGTTTATGAAATCAGACTCAACAATAGGACAAAATGACGCACATCTCAGATGTCCTTACGTGACTGATCACGATGATGTTATTAAAATCCAGAAAATTACTAGAATGTTGTAGTGAACATCTATCTCAGTTAGCAGAAGACAGCCAGCGATTGTTGCAAGTGATCGTAAAACATATTGCAATTTCTGCCCATTTGAGAACACTAATCTTCGCTTGTATCTATGGATTCCATAGTTTTAGCGAACAAGACGCGACACACAAGTGCATTAGCATGCACGAATTCGATATCAACAATATTCTTCGGTTTCCGCAAGAGAAATAGGTACTGCACAACAGCTGATCAGGAAATTGACGACCGAGTATAGGTTTTCGCCAAGCTGTAAAGAAATTTGTCGAAAGACAGTCGTCGAAATGTACGCGAAGCATACTCGGTATGCCGAAAAATCATTGCATGGACCAATATTTAAGCGTCCTGCCACACAAGCAATACGTAAATGCTCAAGAACAATATCGGACAACAATTTTCATATAAATTCATCCAACAAAAGCAAAATAAGCACCAAAATCACGTCAACTGCGTTTGCCTGGACCACTAGCTTCAACTCGAATCAACTAAGCCGCGCAAATGCCATCAAGGTAAAGCTGGAGGGGCC